GTATTGGAACGAGATTCATTAATTGATTTTGATTTGCGGTGACAATCTTCGTTACTGTTCGTTTAAAAATCTTCACGGTCTCAACTAAATCTTATAGGTACATTAACACCTTTTTTTGTTAAAGTCTTCGAACACTCCGCAATATCAGATTGCATCGAGGCACTTAGATTGCGTTACGTTAAGCTTAGAATAGGTACATTAACTCTCTCTTGTTCAGAAATATTTCTCCACACGTTGAGCAACTCAAGAGTTTGTATCAGTTCCCTGGACACCACTTCTTTTGGATACAACAAGTTTTAGAAGTATCCCCCAAGGAAAGGCATCAAATATCGTTGCAATATATCGCTTTTAGTGTTAATGATGGACTCCGACGTCGACGCTAGTGCGGGTAACACGACGCCGTCGTGGCTCCGAAACCAAGAGACTCCTTAGAGACAAAGCCCCGGGAAATCTACGATCTTAGATTGGACACCTGCGGTGCAGATTGTGATGACCGCAGGAGAAACCTGCATGCAAAAGAACGCGTTCAGATTAGCGCGCGTCTAGTGCTCAGGTTGCCATCAGGTGGCGTGGTGTCGAATTGCTACCACTTGAACTAAACGAATACATAAAAAATTTCATTTTTAATTTTAAACAATTATTAACAATTAACAGTCAAATACTAGATGGACATAGACATACGAAACGAACCGCTATGGTTGTAGAAATGGAAACCGGCTAGATCACTTTTAGTTTCGTGGTGAAAGAAGTGGTTGGGGACAGCGGCGGTGTCATTAATCAAACAATAATAGTTCTTGCGTCCGACCGTGCACGTGGGCAGCAGCGATTGTGCATGCGCTATCTGGATCATACCGATCCGGTCCTGCTATTTTTCTTCTGTGAAGCGGCCGCTGCGGACGCCAAGTTATGGCCGGGCGATTATCTCGTAGTATATGGGGAGAACCGGATATATAGCTGGGCCGAGTTAGAAGTCAATGACGCATCTATTATGGTATAATTGTCGCTATTTATCAAAAAGATGCAGCCATATTTGTGCCGCGCTGTTTGCTTGAGGTGCGGTCGTCTTACGATAGGTCAACAACATTAATTATTCCTTTAAAAATTTAAGTTCCCTTAAACAATTTTAAACAAATTTGTTGTAACTATCTACGCAGGCTTATGCATCTTATTACGCGATGAACTGGCAACTACGTAACAATATGCCCGGAGATGCTTGCGCCCCTGCTTTTCATGCCATGTTTGTTGAGAATCCCATAAAGGCCCAGAGGTGAAACCCGCATAAAAGACGAACCCCGGCAAAGCACGGTGAGTGCAAAGGTCAACAGATCGGACGATAGCCCCACATGACCGTACAAAGAAAACTGAACTAAACCGGATGATACGCTTATATGTCCTCAAGCAGAGTCGCTCAAACGATCCCGCGGGAGGCACTTAAAACAGAATTGGATATGGTGTCGGCAGTATCGTAAAGGAACCATAAATATATTACGTTCTTTACCGCAAATAAAGAACCGTACACCAAACGAATACTAAAAGGGCTTTTAATTCGACCGCGGAACAAATGTAATTCGAGACTTTGCCACCACGTAACAATGGTTCTCGAACGACCCGGGATGTAGGGGCCTTTAAACAGCATGCAAATACAATGCTACCAACCAACCAACCGCGATACAGGCGCGGACACGTGGGCGAGGGTGTGTTCACATTGTCGCCGCGTTGGGCAACCGATCTAAATAGTTGCGCAAAACGTCTTTAATACAATCGAGTAGCGTTGAACGTGGGCGATCTAGTCGAATCCAGATGGCATTGACTCGGAATCCACTGGGAAATAGCTTAATATTCGTCGAGGGTCACCTTTTGTAATATCACCGTTAACAGCATGTAACAGGAACTGCTCATTTGCCTTCAATCGTTTAATACAGCGTAGGCCTTTCTTTTGAATCATACATCACTTAGCAAAACATTCAGCGTATCACCATATCAAGGTCTTGTTTGCAAAACAGAATGGTATTCAAATCTTTAAATTGATTTAAATTTATAATTGACTTCATTACATCTTTATATGATGCTGCGAATTATATACGGAATTATAAACATTAACATAAGCAATAAAGAAAGAAACTAAAAATGTAAACAAATGACGAAGACGAAGGTCGCGTCTTGCTTATAAGCGCGCTAGTTCTTATGATTTATATTCGTGTACCTAATTATGCGCGATACGTATTCTACATTAGACTATTTATATGCGTGACCTAAACAACAATCGAAAGTTTTCTAGTTGACCTGCCATATACTCGGTATTTGCGTAATAGATTCCTTTATTACCACGGTGCTCTTTCGGGGACAATAGGCAATTTAAATGGCCGCAACGAAAAACACGCAAAAAGAAATTCCTAGCGCTTAATTAAATAAGTAATTTAACGGCCTTTGTTGGGCGGCGATGATAGTCTCGCCTTTGCCCGAGAAAATTATTACACTGAATAATGGTATTCAATGACGACCCTGTTGTTTACACACTTTCATATAATCAACATTAATTACGCCTCACGCAAACGATAATAGGGGAATAATTAAGATGGAAAGCTGAAATGGTTTTTCCTCGACAACGTTTTCGCTTTATTTTATTTCATTTAATAGCGAGACAATTTGAAGTGATATCTCGGAATTAAATAGAAGAAATCTCAAGATAGTGATGTTCCACTTTTATAACCAAAAAATTAAAAATATTAAAATTCTTGAAACGACCTTAAAGGTGGGGTAACCACATCAACTAATTCAAGGTGGTACGACGACCAAAGTTTGATTCAATGCAATTAAAGCGTGAGAAAGAACTGCTAACATATAAGTTAATCGAGAAAAAATGTAAATTATAATTTTATGCGAATCAAAAAAGGTTAGTGCGTAAACATAATAGGTTAATTCATTATTGTTAAATTATTGATTTAACAGCACTTTGAATAAATTATGCAATACAAAAGATTAATAGAAATAAAGTAAGTACTTTAAATGGTTCTATTAATAGAAATGCTTAATGAGACAAAGTTGGCAATCAGAAATTGTGACTACTCGATTAATGTTGTGTTAAACCTCGCTTAACTTTCAAACCAACAATTTAGGTACTAGCAACAGGAACATAATAACGTACTGATTAATAATTAAAACTGAAACTAACACTAGACCTAGATCTAGAAACATTCGAACTTAGCCGCACGTCTCTCAAGTCGACTAAACGCGAATGATTTTAGTTCTAGGTCTTGTATAAGCTCTAGTAATAATACTAGTGCAATACTAGAACTAACCTAGACCTAGAACTAGAAAGTATCGGGTTTAGCCGTGCGTCTTCAAGCGCACGGCTACACCCGAATGTTTCTATAAATCAAACTTTTCAAGGATTTAGACAATTTACGGATTAGACAACGCAGACAGTTTACCAGAATCGCCATACCACAGAGATGCAAAGAGAAGAATGTGACCATAAGAAGCACCATAATGACTCAGTTGTAGCCTGTAAAATCTTAAACAGGGCAGAACAAGCCCTACTACTTGCACGAACACACAAGATCTTCAAGAACCTATAATTACTATGTGAAAAACTGTTTCGACTGCACATCCAAATTTCGAGTTCCATATCCAAGCAAGACTGGGACTAAGTAGATAAGATAACCATAGAGAAGGCGAAACGAGAGTTGCGGGAGAGGAAAACATATATCAAGTAATTCCAGACAATAGAATGTGGAACAAGAGACAAATGAAAGATAGCTTACCAGTAGAATCATTGGTGATTAATTGGTCCAGCACTTTACTAACGAAAGAAGAAACGACGGCACTAATCAAACGATTAAATTTCGAGGTCGCTCTAAAACGAGTGACAAAAGAAGAAAAATATGCGAAGTAGGGATAGTTATTCGCAAGATGCCAGGGGAAGAAGCTACAGACATCCGTCAAGACGTCGCAAATGTGTCAAAATTTGCTGTTTTTGACATCAACTTAAAATATGTCGTGAGTCTGTCTGCAGATCCTAAAAGATTCTAGTTTTAGTTTAATTTCTACTAATACCGACCGTAAAGGTTTACGAGCTTACTTTTAGGAATCACTATGAAGATCGATACGTAAGAACAAAAGATTGTTCTCAAGGATTTTCTTGGATGTTAAAGTGAATGTCTCGTTGATATCTTAAGAGAGATTATAGAACCAAATGCTGCTTTCTAGTATAAATGTATAGTCAAGTAACTGACTTTTTGCTCAATTACCAAAGCATCATGTTCATTAGATTGCACATTTAATACTAAACAGAACGCAGTAGATCAATAGTTTCCATTTCATTGTATTTGTATCTGTTACATTAATAAATAGATCATAAAGTTTTGAGAGTGCCAGCAAGAAATGAAACTATTAAAAAATATTCGCAAAGGGTGAATATAATGATTGTATGATGATATTGTGAAAGTGAAACCAGCTGAGAACGAAGGCTAATGAATTGGGTGCAAATTCTGGGTAAGGAAGAACTTATGAATCTTACGTAATTTCTTATTTAAAATGTATTTTTGCGAAAATTATGGAAAATAAGATGTTGGTTTTATGTTATACGGAAATACCTCGTAAGTAAACATACCGGTTCATTAATTATTGAAGCAGAAAACGAAAACGAATTAGCATGAAATAGGAGAAGATCAGCATGTAGATTAGTTCTTTAATCACCCAAAAAAAGTTAATTTATACATACTGTTATTTTCACTATGTTCAAATAACAGTTTCATATGGGATATTCACCTTCCAATATGCCACACGTAATATGTACATACATAGATAGGTATTTAAATAACTGGTTGATATAACGTTATTCCTTATTTGATACTTCTAGGACTACTCCTCATTTACTGGGATTACCAGCGAATAAAAACTTAAAAATGTTTAAGAAGGGATTTAAATAAACCGGACTATCTCGTCGAAGTTTGCTGGCGATCATTAAAACGATGATTATTCGGCCGAAGTATATTTACCGTGGCAGAAGTTAATGAGAATCTGTTGGGAAACTCCTTTTCCACTACACTGTCACAAGTAGCACTCATAAAACCACATCGTGCAGTTGCGTCACTCGGGCACCACTTGTTATCATGTTCTGGGAAGCCATCCCAGCAATCGTGCGAGAATTTTTAATAAGCATTCACTCCTACTGAAGGATAAGGCACCAAAGGCTTTGCAAAGGCAGTCGCAGTAAACATAGTTTTGCCTGGCATACGGATATATTCCACGTTTCTGGAGTCCGTCGATAAGTCACGAAGCCGATTACTCCGCGTTCTCCATCGCTGGAGGTGGAGATGTTTGTGGAGAAGCGCGAATGCGTCAAGAAAGAGGCAACCGGCGAACTGACTCCGGAGAACTAACTCGTCGCCGACGTGCCTCAGCCGGCTTCGAACGGGGGAAACGGGAAAAGAGAGAGTGATTATACTAGTTTCTCGCTGAGAACGATGGGTCGAACCACGCCTGGAACTTAGACGGACAAAACGCCCGTACCGTTAGTAGCTCTGTGTCATACACGCCGATCGGGCCGTGGCTACTTAATTGGCCCCATAGATTTTCATAAAGAATTCCACGTCACTCGAACCGACTATAAAACTACATCGAGAGTTTTCATTCAAATCCAGCTCATTTACAATTGGAATAAACACGACCTTTGTAAAACTATGATTAATCAACATATTGCTATTTCACATATTCCATATATGTATGATAAGAACTTAATTCGACTAAATAGTCGAAATCAATAGCAAGGAATTACAACATCTCAATGTCAGTGCATTGGAAACAATGGTATTATCTCTAATGTCATGCTTGTATTGAGTAATTGATTGACATGAAAATTTAATGGTTTTCAATGCTTATCCAAAATATCTACTGAATGCAGATAATGTAGTTGCAAAATTAATAATAATAATGAATAACAGAAATTATAAACATGTTTTAGGAAATTAAAGGGAAGAAATAATATAATAGTTCATGGTATAATCACTTAGGTTGTGAACGACGCCTAGTACGCCATCTCCGAATGGCGACAGTCGAGGCCGAAGTCGCCGTTTGGCCCAAGGCCGACCGGGTGCCCACTCGCCAAGAATCCGCCGACCGCGGGCCCCGATCCTAACAAAGGGCCGCCCGTGGGCCGCGCGGTACACCCCCTCGCGTTAACCGCGCCCGCGTACCCTCATTTTGTGCCGTATATCCCAACGTCGACACGGTGTCCGTCTTACATTTGTCAACGTCGCAATGATGAAAATTTTTATGTTTTTGAATTCAAACATAACAAAGATGTGATCATCAAAACCTTATTATATTCACCTATTTGTGTCATAAGCATTAACCATTATCACCGAAGTCTGAAGACGCACAGCGAAACCCGAAACTTTTTAGTTCTAGGACTAGTGTTAGTTCAATAAAAATCTACAACAACCAAACACTGAATATCAATTAAAACTAGAGTTATCACTAGTACTAGTATTTAGCCGTACGTTCAGCTAAACCCGAATGTATCTAGTTCAATCATCCTAGTGACCAAAACATCCAAGAAAGGTAACTGTTTAATAAATAAATTGGAATAACTGTGACGTTGCGCAATACCAGCGCGTGCCGTTTTTCATTGTTCAGCAGCATGAAAAATATCAAACAATTACTGGCGACTTTCTACGGCGGCCGTTCTCTATCTGTCAAGAGAACAGGGTCGTGTTGCGTTCGTTAACACTAAACTTGTCGATGTTTACAAAAAGTTCAAAGTCCCCTAAGGAAAATATTAAAGAATGTTACTAATTTTTTTCTCAAATTACTATCTACATATTTTAACATAATTAACAATTAAATGACAAACTTTATTTACCGATTATAACCAATATAAAACCGGATACCACAAAAACCAATACGTATTAGATCATCAACATGTATCATTGATATTCATTCTGTGAATTCTTTTTATGCAAATTTAACTTACTACAGCTCTGAATCGATCTTTGGCATATCGTGAATTGAATGACATGCTGCTAAACTGAATTAGGAACAATTTCGAACTATTGCCAATTATTACGACATTCTGCAAACATGACGGTCATTTGGGTTAATTGATACAGATGTCGTATCCAATGCTATGAATCACACATTCAGACAAAGTTGTTTTGTTTTCTTTCAATAACAGACAATAAATATGACTGTTAGAAAATATTTTGTTTTGAATATTTCTATACAAGATGTTTTAACCTTTTCCTTCCAGTAATGGTATTTGCATTATTGTAAACATATAAAAAAATATTCACAGAACATTAAATTTATTCGACGAATTTATTGATCTGTTAATTCACTATGATTTAACTACAGAATTGAATGTATTAAAATGAGTTAATATGCTAGTTACTAACACTAGCACTATAACTAACACCAGACCGAGAACTAGAATCACTAGACACTAAGGTCCTACATATCCTACATCTCTTACTTACTTATACAAATGCCAAGAAAACCTAAGAAAACACCAAAACCAGCTTGCCAAACAAGAAAAGATGATGCCAAATAGCCTTAAATTAGACGAAAAGATTGAAGTACCACATATTAGCAAAGATTACCCGGAGGAGCCAGAAGATTTTCTAATCAAATTCGATCCGAAATTTTACCGACAACAAAAAGACAACATCACCTTTTTCCAGGTTTCATAAACTGGTTGATGCCATTCATACCTCGCTAAGTGGATATTTTACCTCCAAAACTGAATTCTCCATGGACGTCAAGCATTCCGTAGATCTTGAGAAGGTTGATAATCAACCGATAACAAAGCCGTGACAAGACCTCGAGTCACCTAGATCAGATCCAGAAAACTTTTCTACACCACTTTCGATTCTACTTGGAGTGTCGATAAATTACTTTACTTCCTCTTGCAGTGTTCTGATAAGACACATATTAAAAAAAAGAACCACTAAATTAACTAATTCATCTGTTTCTATTGCTTAAGAACCAAAAGTGTTAGTACACTTTTCTTATATTTTTCGGGTGCTATAAATGCAGGAATCAGTTGTCTCACAAACACGACGTTAATATACTTCATACACAAAATTAGTAGAAAGAAAGAAAATGCCAATGGTATAGCTAACCATACATTGTTATGGTGACGACACTACTTGCAATGTAATGTCGCAGAACGCAATATCTTCCAGGGATCTGCAATTTATGAGGGAAGCAAATTAGAGTGTTTCAGAGTTTTGTGAAACAGAGTCTGCTCGCAATGGTCTATGTAATGAATGTGCCAAACGTCCATATATTTTTTGCAGAAACTATTATTTAAACAATTACTGTAAACTGACAGAAACTAAGTAAACAATTTCTTAAGAGAAAACAACAGTAAAAAGGAATTGCAAAATATGAACAAAATTTATAAAAAAAATTTATCATTTTTAGACGACAATAATTTTATAATACCTGATAAATACAATTAAATAAAAACATTGTAAACATTCCATGAACATAAATTGAATATATATCATAAGAATATTTTCTTGAGTCGAGAATTTATAAACGGGAAACTGATAAAACTAAGTAATAAAAGAAAAACTAGTAATCGCCAAGTACCATTCACGCATGGGTGCCAACATAAGAGAGTCGATTTGGTCGGACGGATGGCTCGCCAACTGCGCGACCGTCGGGACGGCAATAAAGCTTTTGCCGATGTGTGCCTACAGCACACCAAACTAAACGCTCGGTGCAATGTCGATGACCTCCGCGGTCGAGTCTTACCGACCTTCGACGGTCAAGTGCCTTGCAATGCCGAGAGCATGAAGTTGGGCGTTGCGGCCCACACGACAAGATCTCTTCACCGCCGGCCCTTCTTCGGCCAGGTGAAAAGCCGAAACTGCGAAATTGCAATTTTTGGACGAGAGCATCTCGAAAACGCATTTCCAATTCAATCTCGCGATTGACTGCTACCAAAAGGAACCATATTTACCGTTAAGGATAACGCAGATGTTTTAAGGTTATACAGGAAGTGCTTCAACTAATCGGTTGAAGATAAAAGTGGGAACTGTTATTACCCATTAATGGTCTTTATTACTGCTTCGACGACAAATATTTCATTTGTCAAGCGATACTAGTAGTAGATAACAATTTGTTAGATACTAAAAATATTAAAAATCGTACAAACCAAATAGGACAAATTGGTTCGGATTAATAAGTAAGAACAAAGTCAATATTTTTGTAAGAATTTATACAGGGTGATTTTACACAGTTTAATAGGCAAATGAAAATGTAACATAAAAAATAAGTTTAAAAATTACAAAAATTGTTCGAAATGTCCGCCTTCAGCTTGAATGCACGCCTCACATCGACGAAGTAAAGATTCTATCACACGACGTATGATATTTGGATCATTCCGTATGCTATTAGCTGCATCTTGAATTCTGTCTAGTAGTTGCTGACGGGTAGTAATTTCTACATGGTACACAAGCTGCTTCATGTGTCCCCAGAAATAATAATCCAGCGGATTTAGATCTGGGGATCGTGGTGGCCAGACTACTGGACCTCCATTGCCAATCCATTTGTTTGGAAAATGTTCATGTAACCAAGCGATGACTTCTCTTCCTCGATGTGGTGGTGCACCATCGTGCTGATACCACATATTTTGAACTATGTTAAGTGGTACGTCGTCGATAAAATCGAAAAGGTTATGTCCCAAGAAATTTCTGTACATATTTGCATTTAAGCGTTCATTTATCACCCATACAGGTAGCAAAGAATTGTTAAAAATGCCACCCCAAACGTTTACACTAAACCGTTGCTGAAATCTTCCTGTACTAATTGCATGCGGATTTTGCAAGGACCACACATGTTCGTTATGATAATTATTTATGCCGTCCCTAGTGAAACACGCTTCATCAGACCACAGAAGCATGTTGCTGAATAATCCAGTGGCAAAATGCTAAGCGTTGCTCAGTATCTCCAGGATGTAATGCTTGAACATTTTGGCGATGAAACGGATGTAACATTTCTCGATTCAATACACGCCATACAAAACTTTGGGATATTTGTAACATGCTCGCTATACGCCGAGTACTAATTGAAGGGTCGTCAAGTACTAAATCAATAACACGTTTTTCATTTTGTACATTCACATCATGGGGACGAACGGAATGTAGTGGAGCGGGGTTACCTGTTTCTCTCAGTCTGCGAAATGATGCACTAAACACTGTATGGGCAGGTTGATGTCTATTTGGAAACCTACGAAGGTATTCTCTTGCTGCTTGCCGAGCGTTTCCGTTACAAAAATAATATCTGCATATTCTTCAGTCGTAAATACATGCATTTTCGTTTTCCATCAAAACTCTGACAATTATAAACTTTGAA